AACCCAAAGCACAGGACAAGTCTATTCATTTACACACACAATGTAAAACCAAATTTAGCATTTTAATCAACAGTACATTTTATCGAATCGTGACATGAGGGTATCGTTACACCCCTAGTCAGAAGGAACAACAACAAAAAATAAATCATAATATTGCAGTGGCATTAAGAGCAGATGAGATCAAACCTGCACAAACAGGTGCTGCTGCATGTCTTAAGGCACCAATTTTTAATTTAACACAAAATGTGAATGAGATTTGACAGCTGTGGCAAAATATTATCAATCAATAACGACTTCATTTCAGTCTGTCCTCCACACAATAAGATCAGGATAACTTCAGAAGACTTGTAGCCTAGGCACTTTTATGATGCTTAGTTTAATTCTGGAGTTACAGGGTTATTAGTAAATAAAAAAACAAAATTGTGTACCAAAAAGAAAATGTGCATGCATGCATATATATATATATATATATATATATATATATATATATATATATATATATATATATATATATATATATATATATATATATATATATGCAGACGACACACAGCTCTACTTAGCCCTATCGCCTAACGATTACAGCCCCATTGACTCCCTGTTCCAATGCATTGATGAAGTCAACAGTTGGATGTGCCAAAACTTTCTTCAGTTAAACAAAGACAAAACTGAAGTTATTGCGTTTGGAAACAAAGATGAAGTTCTCAAGGTGAACGCATACCTTGACGCTAGGGGTCTAACAACTAAAAATCAAGTCAGGAATCTTGGTGTGTCTCTAGAGTCAGATCTTAGTTTCAGTAGTCATGTCAAAGCAATTACTAAATCAGCATACTATCATCTGAAAAATATTGCAAGAATTAGATGCTTTGTTTCCAATCAAGACTTAGAGAAACTTGTGCATGCTTTCATCACCAGCAGGGTGGATTATTGTAATGGACTCTCCTCACTGGCCTTCCTAAAAAGACCATAAGACAGTTGCAGCTCATACAGAACCAGAACATATGAACATATCACACCAGTCCTCAGGTCTTTACACTGGCTCCCAGTTACATTGAGGATTGACTTTAAAGTATTATTACTGGTATATAAATCTTTTAATGGGCTAGGACCTCAATATATTGCAGATATGCTCACTGAATATGAACCTAACAGATCACTCAGATCATTAGGATCACATCGGCTAGAAATACCAAGGGTTCACTCTAGCATGGAGAGTCTGCTTTTATGCTGAACCAGCTTCCAGAAGAGATCAGATGTGCTCCTACAGTCACATTCAAATCCAGACTCAAAACACTTCTGTTTAGCTGTGCATTTACTGAATGAGCACTGTGCCACTGTTCGTCCGACTGTTTTTACTGTACTTTATTTTATTTTTTTATTCTTAACTGTTTTAATTATTCTTATTTGTTTTTTAAGTGTAACCATATCACCATAGTGTGTAATATATAAGTGTGTATAAGTGTGTGTGTATATATATATGTATATATATATATATATATATACACACACACACTTATATTACTTATAATATAATAATAATAAATACTTTCATTGGGTCTCATTCATGAAACATTCGTAAATATACGTGTAAATATGCGAGTGATTTGCACGTAAAGAGACCTTCCCGAAAACTCATCTCCTGATTCACAAATACTTCGTAAACGTCAGATGTGATAGTGAAATGTGTGTGTGTGTGTGTGTTAATGAATTCCAATCAGTCGTAAATGGGACGCGCGTGCACGCTCATTCTCAATTACCATAAATCCCGCCCATTAAATCCGACTGACAACTATATATGGGCATCATGTTATGACACCAAACGAAGGATTTCAACATGTCTTCTCAAAAGCGAATGAAAAAGAAATTTCTTAAGTTTTATTATCAGAAGTTCATTCAAAACACCGCATTTTATTTTCAAGCTACATAGTGGCGTATCAGGTCCTTAAAAAAGCCAGCTTGGCAGCATTACAGATGCAGTTACTGGAGTTTCATCTGTTAATCAAACAGTCCCAGAAGTCAAAAGAAAAACCGTATATGTAATTACTATATATAATATTTTTTCAAAATGCTGTGTAAATATGTACCCGATTAAGGTGAATTAAAATGCAGCCTTATTAATGAGCAAAACGTTCGGGTGTTAAACTCACTATTTACGCGTGGCTGGGAGCAGGTGTAGATTTCTTTCGTACCAACTAACATTTGGAAAATACCAACATTTTAATGAATCCGAAAATTTACGACAGAACCACTTTACACACGATTCACACAAAAATTCGTTCTGCTCGTGTTTCATGAATGAGACCCATTATGCGTAAAACATATTTAGGATATTTTGCCTAATTTTCTTTATTCTGGAAAATACAAAATGAGGTCTGAGTGTCATGATTGCGAGTAAATGACAAAATCAGTCACTGATCAAAAAAAGCTTCTGGGATCCTGCATGTGTGTTTATTTCTCTCTCTGCTGTAACACCATCATCCGTCATGAACGCGCAAACTCAATTTGAAGGGCAGAATGCTGAGAATGGCCCATGATGTGATGGTTAAGAGCTCAAATCTATTTGCATTGATCATTTTCAGTCTCTGCCGTGCCAGTGCAGAAAAAACACAAAGACAAAACAGGAAATGACCGGCTTACACACACAAAAAGAAAAAAGAAAAAAACTCAATTCACAGACGTTCAAGAAATCATCAATATTATGACATGCAAATTGAGGTTTTGACATCACAATCATCTGACCACCAACAATAAGCACCATATAAATATCATAACCAAGTCCATTTACATATAAATGTATTAACCCTCTTATTATCTTCAGGGGTCCTTTTTGACCCGCAAATGACTTTTGGACTTGGTCAATTTTGAAAAAAATTCTCTTTTTGTCCAAATGGTATAAAACTTTTTACGACTCTTAACACAAACAGATCATTCCAAAATATATATTTTTTGGTAGATCTAGACAATGTTAGCGTGACAAAAATGCCAACACTCTTTATCTTCGGGGTCCCTGGAGACCCTGTATAGTGAATATACAAAATTCATCATCAAAATCAGAAACAACGAAGAAACAACGCAGATCACATAGACAGAAATAAAGTGGCACACTTCCAATGCAAAAAAATAAATAAATCCACAATGCACACACACACACAGTAATACATTTGTAAGGCTATACTATGCATACTGCCTGCAGTGCACTGACGCATAAACACCTGCAGTGCACTGTAAACGAGACTGTATGAGATGACCACCAATTATTGTTCCTAGTTTTTTCCACATTCACTGTTTTTTTTTAACTAAAAAAATTTTTTTCTGCTTTATTTGCTCATTTATTGCTGATCAGTTCATTGCATTTTGATGTTCATGTCATGCATTTTTACTCAATATGTAATATAACTTAATTTCTGTCATTCTTTGTTCTGTTACAGTTAGTAAAATTGTAGAATTATATTAAAAACAGATTGAAATAAATGATAAAATCTAAAGTCTTGTTCAGATTTTGATTCTAAGCATAATGTAACATTATTGAAAAACTTTTTTGTTAGTACAAAAAAATGCTAAACTGACAAAGGTATTTTTTTGTTATAATTGTGATTTTATAATATTTAGATATGAATCCAACTGGAAAAACTTGTGAAAAGATATATAGTTTGGTTAATCACATAGCAAATAGCATATAGTGGAGCTCTATAGCCATCTAGTGGTTAAAGTGACTTATTTTAAAACTGCATTTTCCAAAAAAATGGGTAAAAATCTTACATTAAATCATTTAAAATTATCCATGTTATCCCCATAAATGAAAGTTATAAATCTGGGTCTTTTATATAGTAAATGTGACACAAAATGCTGACAAAAAAAAAAAGCCTATTTAAATAAATATTTATTTATTTATAGAAATTTAAAAGATATCAAAAATCCTCCCAAAACTGCACAAATGTTGAGTAAAAACATTAATAAACAGAGTAAAATTACATTTGTAAAAAAAAAAAAAAATTATAATACTGTTACAAAATTAAATGTTATTGTCTGGGGTCCCTGGAGACCCCAAAGATAATGAGTGTAGACACAAATGCAGATAATAGAAGGGTTAAAGGTGCAGCAGCAATTCAGAAACAGGCAAAGGTCAGAGAGCGGCTGGAAAATGATCATGTAAAGCTTAATTACTGCTACAAGAACACTTAATTAACATAAGTCATGTTAAATGTTAGGAAGCATTTAGACTAGTTGGTGATTCAAGACAAAAGCCGGTGTAATGCGATAACACCTGTTCTCTTGATGATCAAACACAGACCGTAGGTTGTTAAGGTCTTTCAGAAGCAGCGCAGAGCATCCAATAGCAGGTTTTCTGCCAAGTTCTTGAACACAACAGAAGTGAAACACATCTGCTGCTTTATGTCTGTTCAAACTTTAAACTAAACACAAGTTGACTGAAAAATCAGGGAGATACAACCTAAACAAAGTCTGTCAATATGCACAGATTACATCAGCCCTCCAAAAAATACATAGCTTATGCATATCAAAATAAACCATCATATTACAATATTTTAAACTGTAGTACAATGAAATTCACATTAATGAACATCTAAAAGAGAACCATTGGCAAAAAAAGGAGTCCTAAATCTCAACATTGCCCAGTGCAAGAGCTTTGTTTGAGAAACAGATCAAATTTAAGACTGTTAATTGATAATCCATACTATATGCATCATAGAAAAATAAAAAAATACTTTCCGCATTATGACGGGTCAGAACCAAAAGCGGGGCTTTGAATCTAACGGGAATCATTGGGAATGATGGAGAATAAAAAAATAAAGTGTTAATTTCTTTTTTTGGGGGTAAAATGTTTATTTTTTTATTTTTTGAGAATTGCCTCAAAAGCATGGTTTGGCACGGCTAAATGATCATAGAGTCAAGTCAAATAAAAGGACTTAATGTTTCCCTTAATGAAGCATTTAAACAATATTGTCAATCCAGCAACACTAAAAACACAGATAAACCCTTACCTGAAGTTTATCCTCTGGGACATTGAGCCAGTGATTGAACGCTTGAGAGAGTTTTGTTCTGACTTGTTTTCCTATCAAAACAGAGAAAAGGGGGAGAGATGACAAGAAATCAAGATCAGTTGCAGTGCAAACATGTCAAATAAGGCCTGAGGTTTGTTTTATTGTTTATTCCAACTTGGAAACTTACTAGGAATTTACGAATCATTTATACAAACTGTATAATACACAAACATAAATACAAAACATTTAGTTTGGTCACAAGCAGACATGCATGCAAACTAATACGTATTTTAATAATTACAGTTTTGACATTTATTTGTGAGTGGAACTTTAATTCATTCTTTTTAGTTGTTCAATGAAAGAATTGATGTTGAATAATAAAAATAAAAACATTCCCATTGACCAATTTTTTAACTAAGACTATCCAGTCATAGGCTAACCTGCAATTTAGCAAATATCCAGTTAATTCCCATTCATTCCCATGGAAAATTTCCAATTCCTGGACTTTTGCAACCCTAATCATGACGCATGAAACAAGCAGCATGCAGTGACTGAACTCTTAATACTGTTATAAATCAATAGAACCATTTTTGCCTGCCTTTTAAAACACAAACTTGAAGGCCGAGGACTGACGAGCTCAGATTATTCAGCAACCAAAGGCTCAGAACGAACATCATTCATCTCCATTCATGAGCCTTTCCCCTCTGGCTTCCTGTAACTGGAGCGTTCGCGGAGCGAGTTACTGCAGGTTGCACTGATCTAATGACTCACTGGCAGCGTCGCTCCTTCACTTCATGTGCCACGGTTTCCCTGTATGAAAGAACTCAGTTTGCCCTTTACTAATGAAGACCGTCAGATGCATCTCATTAAAATCCGTCAAGAACATGTCACGCTTTTCTTTTTGGATTATTGAGGGTTAAATGAATCTGACATTACAACTAATCATATTTTTTGTGCATTACAGTAATAAGGTGATTTTGAAAAGTTAGAAACGGTCCATCGAAGCACACACACAGGTGAAACTTGAAAAATTTGAATATCGTGCCAAAGTTAATTTATTTCAGTAATTCAACTTAAAAGGTGAAACTAATATATTATATAGACTCATTACATGCAAAGTGAGATATTTCAAGCCTTTATTTGTTATAATTTTGATGATTATTTCACAATATTCTAATTTTGAATTTGGGGTTTCATAAGCTGTAAGCCATAATCATCAAAATTATAACAAAAAAAAAGGCTTGAAATATCTCACTTTGCATGTAATGAGTCTATATAATATATTAGTTTCACCTTTTAAGTTGAAATAAATGAACTTTTGCACGATTTCCACATTTTTCGAGTTTCACCTGTAAGAATGGGAGAAATCGTAACACTCAATATGGCAAAAACGATTTAACCTAGGGATGCACGATATATCTGCCACCATATCGGTATCGACCAATATTTAATGTTATCGTTATCGGCCCGATAAGAAAATTTGGCCGATATAATAAAGCCAATAAATCATGGATTATTTCACTTCAGATACACATTGTTCAACATGATGGTTTTGAACTGCTTGAAATATGGATTGAAATCACTTTTAAAGTCTGTCATATATAACTACATAAAATTATAATGAGAACATAATTGGGACGTGGCTTTTAATGGTGAGACTTTGTTTTTGTAATCAGGCTCTCAAAAAAATTAAATAAAAATTTGGATTTAGATTTATCGGCCAATATATCGGTTATCGGCTTTCAAATATGAAGAATTATCGGTTATCGGCCAATTTTTTTTTTTATATCAGTGTATCCCTAGTTTAACCATTAAGAGCCAATCAACTCAATACTTCTGTACTCTAAATATGGCTTTTTGTGCAATTACAGCTTAACTTAATCTTCCCGATTTGACATTTCAACACAATTCTGAAAAGTTACTTTACCGACTTTGGTTCTGCAAACTTAATTTGTATAATTTTAATTTAGATTAAATTAATTAATTAAACAATTAATTAATTTAAAATGCAATCATTAAAATTGATTTTTAAATGATTATAATAATAAAAAAACATTTTATTATAGTAAAAATTTCTGTACACTCAGGGTTTTTCTTTTCAGTGATTCCCATTAGAGTAAAGCAGCGTCTGGATTCATTACATCGAGAAAAATCAAACCTCTTTAGATTCTGGGGTGAAATGTGGCCTGAACATGTTTTAATGAGATTCAGCCACTTAAATGCAAATTAATGTAGTCTTTCTCAATCTCTTCACATTCACGCCGGTTTTCCCTTTTCAGAGGAACTTGGTCTGCCCTTCAACTTCAGTTCCTCAGTCGTTCCTTCCCTGACCTCAGCAAAAACTAGCCGAGAGGACCGTCTCCGCATCGCCCGCGCAGGGCTTCTGCATACGTCACAGAAGACAGCATTAAAATTGCAGGAGGACGACAGGAAAACAAGAGACCGGGTTCTGATGCTGCAGCAGTATTTCTCCCCACGCTCGCTAATATTCAGCAAACTGAACATTAGAGGTGGAGACACTCTTTCAGAGTCAGCAGGGTTTTACTGCAGATAAAATTAAAACATTTTCACTTCATAAGGTCAGCACAGAGAGAGAGAGAGAGAGAGAGAGAGAGAGAGAGAGAGAGAGGAGATGATTTAATTCTGCAAGATAGTAGAAAACGGAAGTTGTTTTTAAAAACTTTAATGCATAATTGAATATGCAGCCATTAAACTATTCAGATAGTAAGGGGGGAGTAACACTTTATTTTACAGTGTCCTTGTTACATATGTTACATGTACTTACCATAGCAGTAACTCAATTATGCATAGCATAATTATGCAACTAACCCTCAACCAAATCATAATCCTACCCTAACCCTATAATAAGTAGTACATGTAGTTGCTTAATGTTACTTAGTACTTAAATATATTGGGTTACACTTTTACGGTGTCAGTTACAATATATGGTAACACTTTATTTTACAGTGTCCTTGTTACATATGTTACGTGTACTTACCATAGCAATCACAGTAAATTATGCATAATTACATGCAACTAACCCTCAAACAAATCCGAATTCCTACCCTAATCTAGTAAGTACATTATTATTACTCAGTTCTTAAATATGTAATTACACTGTAACAATGACACCTTAAAGGAGAACTCCGGCGCAAAATGAACCTCGGGTGTAATAACACATTGGTACAGACTAAATCGTTCCCTGCGATTTGTTTTCGTGATTATCGAATGTAAAGAGTTTTATCTCTAAAAACAGTTTAGCTTATAACGCTAGTATATTGGGCATCGAGTAAGCAAAAAGAGATCGCTAGTTAATACCACTAACAAGGCTCAAATTAGCCCCACACTAACATGGCAGCATAATGAGTGTCCTTACATGCAAACCGAAGCATTGCGAACTTTGTAAGTGTATAGACAGTTTAATAAGAAGATACTTTACACAGACAGTACAGTTAGCGCATACAGACAGGAGCCATCTTGGAAAACAGTCTCGATCAGTCAAACCACGAACACGGTGATACGTGAGCTGAACTGTGACTTGGAATCTCATATGGTCCGTTGTTTCCGGAAGAAAGCACTGAGCGCATAAGAGAAGCACTGAACGCAACAGAGAAAATAAAAAAATAAATATATTTTATCTTATCTTCAATATCTACACGTACTGTTCGCTCACCCTCGTGGTTCGATTGGTCGAGACTGTTTTCCAAGACGGCTGCTGTCTGTATGCGCTAACTGTACTGTCTGTGTAAAGTATCTTCTTATTAAACTGTCTATACACTTACAAAGTTCTCAATGCTTCGGTTTGCATGTAAGGACCCTCATTATGCTGCCGTGTTAGTGTGGGGCTAAATTGAGCCTTGTTAGTGGTATTAAATAGCGATCTCTTTTTGCTTACTCGATGCCCAATATACTAACGTTATAAGCTAAACTGTTTTTAGAGATAAAACTTTACATTCGATTATCATGAAAACAAATCTCAGGGAACGATTTAGTCTGTACCAATGTGTTATTACACCCGAGGTTCATTTTGCACCGGAGTTCTCCTTTAAAGAGTCCTTCCAGAAAAACGCTTTTTTAGTTTTTTTGTGATTGTTGCGGGCAAAAATCCTTGATTATGCGGCCCGTTTTCTTTAAAAATGTGATGGAATATGCGGGATATTTATGCAATTTTATGCGATGAAATTGCGGGAACTTGCAAAAATTTGCGGTTTGATTAAAAACAGAAAAAAAAAAAAGGGATTCCCCCAACGCCCTGTTCTCACTAGGCTACTACCTTAACCCTTGTGTTCTGTTCGATTTCTGTGTACACCCTTTATGGACCGGGTCAAATTGACCCTAATTGGATTCAATACAATTCCTCAAAAATCACACTATGAAAAACAACAAAGATTTAGATACAAACTGTAAACTTTTAATATCAGCATTTGTCAAACATTACAAAAACATTATATCTGAAAATATGATTTATGAAAATGTTTAAAACATTTTTAAACAGTTTAGTTTTGACAAAATTGGAAAATAAACAGTATACTGATTTTTTTGCATATATTTTTTTTTTTTTTTTTTTTTTTTTTTTACATTTTATGCTTTGAACATCGTAACTGAACAAAAAAAAATTGCAGTATAATGAAAATTTTTCATTTTCCTAAGTTAACTTTCCCTAGTTTCCTAAGACCTATTTTCCTAGTTTCATTATTCACTCACTGGGAAGTGAGAAACCGAACAAAACAAAAACATACATCAAATAAATGTTTTTTATTTATTTTTTGGCTCTGTGAAGCTGCCTTTGAAAATCCTACATAAAAGTTTTGGTTAAAAGCTAGGTATTTTAGATTTTTTGAATATTGAAATGAGAGCTTATTTTACTATCTGTGTCTGATAAAGATTTTCATCTGTAATTTGCAAATAATTCTGAACACTGTAATTTTAGCTTTTTCAAGTGTGTTTGGTTAGGGTTAGAGCACTTTTAGATGCACTTGCACGTTAGAACTGGAGTTGAAGTGCCCTGACATACAGAAAATAAATGTTTTTATTTTGTGTCTGTACAGTTGCTTTTGAATGGCTGCCTATG